GCCCTTTCGTTCAAAACCCCTGCTTCTACATTGTTTTTTTTTTTTTTTTTTTGGAGAGGTTTTTGCTATAGGGCGTGTGCATTTACCAGAGAGACAGAGAGACAGACAGAGAAACAGAAAGCAAGAAATCACCACCCAGGGGGATGGCCACGCCACAATCCCTTCTCCTCCATTCTCCTCTCGGAATATTGGGCACGCACACACACGCGCCCAGCATGAATATAAGCCACCGGGTCCAGGACTCGAACTATGGTTGACTACATGGGAGTTCAGTGACATAGCCATTATGCTAACTGCTGGTCCCCTCTACATCACATTTAAGGCCAAACTCCCAACCTGGCATGGGAGGACCATGCCATCTGATCTCACTGTCTCACCCCTGTTGCTCAATTCTGCCTCTACTCATATTAATTTTCTCTCCCGTGTGCCACAGAAGCCATGGTCTACTCTGGAGGACTTTGCTAAAGCTAGTGCCTTCAATTAGGGTATTTTCCTTTTTTATTCTAAATACAGTATTTAGTTTTTAGTTTATAACCTGCTCCTCTTTAAGAAATCTGCCCGAGCCAGTGCACGGCTATGCCCTCCCTCACATTATCCATCAGCCAAGTCCTGTGTCGGGATTCTCAGCCTCGGCACTGCCGGCATTCTGGACCAGCCCCTTCATTGTGGGGCTGTGCTAAGCGTGGTAAGAGGCTGAGCAGTAACGCTGGCCTCCACCCACGAGATGCCAGCAGCACTGCCACCCCCTTCCTGAGTCGCTGCAGACCATTGCGAACCACTAACTATAAAAATCTTAGTTCCCCAACAATCGCTGTGTGTGTGGTGTGAGCAGTGAAACTAGGCGAGTTAACGCAAACTCTGGGCTGGTCCGCCCATATTTCAGGATGGGGAGGTGAGAAGGGCTTCCTAAACAAACAGAAAAGTTGAGGCTGCTGCAGCTTGGGGACAGAAATGAAACCATCCTTTATGGAAGTTCAAATTTGAATGCCCTAGGAGCTAGAATCAGAATGCTCTGAAGTGACTTAAAAAAAAAAAAAAAAGAAAGAAAGAAAACAGGAAGAATCCATTATACTCAGAGAAAGTATGATAGACCAAAAAGTTGCTAGTTAACACAGGGGCCAGCGGGTGGCATGGTGGTTAAGGGCATTAGACTCCCACATGGCCAACAATGGTTTGAGTCCTGGACATGGCAGCTTGCTTTCTCACTTTCTCTCTGTCCCTCTCTGGTCAAATTAATATAAATAAATAAATGTTTAAAAATAAAAATAATTTTTAGGGGACCAGCAGTTAGCGGAATGGCTATGTCGCTGGACTCCCATGTAGTCGACCACAGTTCGCATCCCGGACCTGGTGGCTTAAAAAAAACTCACGCCGGGCGCGTGTGCGTGCGTGCATGCCCAAGATCCTGAGAGGAGAATGGAGGAGAAGGGATTGCAGCATGGCCAATCCCCCCTGAGGGGTGATTTCTCGCTTTCTGTCTCTCTGTCTCTCCCTGTCAGTCTGGCGAGCGCACGCGCCCTACAGCAAAAACCTCTCCAAAAATAAATAAATAAATAAAAATAAAAATAATTTTTAAAAAATGAGTGTTCAATACAGTACAATCCTAGCCCTTCCCAATTACACCAAAATTTACAGCCATTTTACTTGAACACAAAAATTACTTCAATGCCTCAGAATTAAGGCCCTACTATTTCATATTTTATTAGCATCAAAGGGACCCTAGGAAATGAAAAATTGGCAAAACCTCACTTTTCCTGCCTTTGCTTCACCCTCTTGGCTTTGACTGACTTAGTCCCCTTGATTAGCCACGTCCTCCCAGGACCCTAGAACAGCACCCACGCAGCGCCGCGTGCTGGTGAGCCAGCGCTCCAGGTGTAACTCTCCTCCTGTGTGCGGCTTTGAAGATAAAGATGCCGGGGTCAGCAGGTGGCTTGATGGTTAAGGTGCTGGATCCCAAATGGCCCACTGCATTGTTCGAGTCTTGGACCCAGTGGCTTGAAAAACACGCCAGGCATGTGTGCATGTGTACCCAGAATCCCAAGAAATGAGTAAAGGAGAAGGGATTGCTGTGTACAGTGGAGAAGAGGCTGTGGCGTGGCCATCCCCCCGGGGGGTGATTTCTCATTTTCTTTCTCTTTCTCCCTCTCTGCCTCTCTCCAGCGAGTATACACGCTCTATAGCAATTTTTTTTAATTGACTAAAATTTTGAAATTAAGGTACTGTAAAAACCAGAGGTAAGTATCTGTCCTACAACCAGCCTTCCAGAAGGCAAAGTGGCACATCAACCCCACACTCCCCCCAGAGGCCTCTATTTGCTTGATCCCTCGAACATTACTTAACTGAATCTTGTGCCTTGAAGTCACAGTGCAATCTGGCTCTGGAAAATGAACCTCATAAACTTCCACAGGCTGGGGGCTGCTGGAAGAGTCCCGTGATTACAGCTGCACTGACAGCGTTATTTCTCGCTAACACGGTACTCGGGTCATGCCTGCCTCCCTCCTTTCCTTTAAAAGGGAACACTTTGATCAAATGCTCCACTTTCCTACCCTCTCCAAGGCCGGGAGCCAAGGGCCTCACCTGGGGGTGGTGCCGAGGTGCTCTGGAAAGAGGCCTGTGGGGTGGGGGTCGCATAACTGTGGGAGGGCGCCGCGGGCAAAGGGGCAGCGGTCTGGGTTTTCTCGTGACTTTTCACTTGCTGAGTGCTGGGCTCCTCGGATGGTTCAGGTTGGACTGATACATTCTTTGGCCAGCCGGGAATCTCTGCAGTCTGGTTTGTGGTTAAGGGACTGGAAACTGTAACTGCCTCGTCCACCTAAAGAAAAGCAAAAATTCATTTGAGTAGGCAAAAGGTATACAGTTTTTCAGGCTCTGTCTGATGAAATAACATGTTAGATGGGTCCCCGGCCTTTTGTTGCTAGAGTGTATATGCATTTACCAGACAGAGAGCGAGCGAGAATGCCCCCGTGTGGGGTCACATCACAATCCTCTTTTCACTTCCCCATCCCACTGGGATTTGGCTAATGGATACACACCTGGCGTTCTTTTCAAGCCAAGACTGGGATTCAAACCCCAGTGAGATCAGCCCTCCATGCACTTAACCTCTGTGCTATAGGGCCGACCCAAATGTTTTCTTGGAAAATGCAAAAATGTCAAAAATATCAAAGAAACTAATCTCACCATATAAAAAGGAGTGATGTTAATAATGCTGGTACGGGGGCCAGCAGGTGGCGTAGTGGTTAAGGGCACTGGACTCCCACGTGGCTGACCGTGACGTGGTTCGAGTCCCAGACATGGCGACCTGCATTCTCACTTTCTCTAGGTCTCTCTCTCTCCCTCCCTTCCTCCCTCTCTTGTTCTCTCACTCTGTCCCTCTCAGGACAAATTAAAATAAATAAATAAAGTGAAATAAATAAAAAATAATGCTGGTACCAGTCTTGTCTTTTTTCTTATGCAGAGTTGCCTTGTTAAATAAAATAGTAAGAGCCATACTTCTTCGCACGTTCGGGTCTGCTCCCCTTACTGAACACCCCAGCCCCTCCCTGTGCAACTACTTACTGCATACCCACATCCATGTGGGAACAGGCCTTTGGATCCAAAATATAAGTAAAACTAAAACTCGTGCTAAACAAGCAGGGCAGAGAGGACTGAAAACACAACGGGCCAACGTGGCAACTGAACCTGCCAGGGTTATAAGAAGCATAATCTGAGGGAATTTAGCCCTTCTCCCTTGGGGAAAAGGAGGCTATGAGGAGTTTTTCTATTTTTTTCTTTAAAGAGAGATTTTTGCTATATGGCAAATGCACTTGCCAGAGAGACAGAGAGACAGAAAGTGAGAAATCACCTCCCGGGGGGACGACCACACCACAATCCCTTCTTCGCCATTCTCTCAGGATTTTGGGTACACATGCACACGTGTCCAGCATGTGTTTCAAGCAGCCGGGTACAGGACTCAAACCACAGTCAGTCACGTGGGAGTCCAGCAATGTAACCATTATGCCATCTGGTGGTCCCAAGAAGGATGATTTTTTTTTTTTTTTTAAAGAAAAAGGCAGGGTTCACATCCGGGACTTCCCTGGGAATGCCAGGTGTGTGGCCATGATCTGGGCAGGCTATAGCTGGGGCAGGAGAACCCTGTCTCTGTTTCTTTCTCATGGAAAAAGTAGATACTTGGAAGGGGGAAAGGGAGGGAGGAAAGGAAGGAGGGAGGAAGGAAAGTGACAGAAGGGAAGAGAAGAAGAGGAGGGAGTGAGAGGGGGGAGGAGGGTAAGGGAGAGGAGGGGAGGGGGAGAAGGGGAGAAGGGGAGAAGGGGGAAAGGGGTGAGGAGAGTTGAGCTCCTGCAGAAAGAAAGTCCTAGCTGAGTTGTAACCGATAAAGAGCAGGTCTAGGACTCAAACCACAGTCGGCCATGTGGGAGTCCAACACCCTGGCCACCATGCCACCTGCTGGGCCTGGTATGAAGTTTTAAAAATCAACTTAGTTGAATTATATTTCATATCAAATAAACTCACACTTTTCAAGTAGAAAAGACCGATGTTTGGACAAATGCATGTACCCATGCAACCACAAGCAAAAGAGGGACTATTTCTATCTGCCCCCAAAGTGCTCACTGCCCCTCTACAGCAAATTCCCAGCTCCACCTCCAGACTCAGGCAAGCTGGGGTTCGTTTCTCACCATCGCTGTGGGTTTTCCTGCATTGCACATACAAGAAATTGTGTATGCGCTATCTTTGTTTCTAGCTGCTTTCACTCAACTTAATGCTTCTGGGATTCGTCCGTGCTATTATGTGTATATGTAGCACACGATTTTACCACTCGGTGGCAAGTTTCCACTAGAGATATCATCAACACTCATTTTCCATTCATCTATTTTTTCTCCCACCCCCAAGGTAGAGCATACTTTCACACTTTTTAAAGAATTATTTATTCAATTTAATTTATTTATCTATTTTTTAATTTGACGAGAGAGAAATAAAGTAAAATAATTCTTTAAAAAAAGAGAATGATTACATTTCATTTATGATTATTATCTTTAAACTTGCTATCGGGCGTGTGTGCTCACCAGAGAGACAGAGGGAGAGAGAGAGGGACAGTGATCGCAGGTCAGCCACGTGGGCGTCCAGCACCTTAGCCACGTGCTACCTGCTGGCCCCTCCATTCATCTATTCAAGAAGGTTTAAGATTCTTTTAGTTCTTAGCAATTATAAATAAAGCTGCTATGAATGTTTGAATATGTTTCTGTAAAAATACGTTTTAATTTACCTTGGGTAAATAGGAGCAGAACTGCTACTTAGACACAGTATCTGTTTAACTTTATAAAAATCTGTGCGCTGTTACCCACAGTGCCCGTACCATTTTGCATCTCTACCAGTAACGTGCAAGACCCCAGCTGCTCCACAACTTCATCAACACTTGGCATTCTTGATGCTGTTCTTGTCACTCTCTACCTCACTGTGATTTATTGTGCATTTTCCTGAAAACTAATGATGTTGAACATATTTTCATGTGCTTATAGGTCAGACATTTTTCCTTTGGTGAAGTTTATTTACGTTTTTGCTCATGTTTTTCTTTGATAACTTTATTAGGGTATAATTGGCATACAATAACTTGAAATTATCTAAAGTACACATGTTAGGGTTTTTGACATATGTGTATACCCAGGAAATCACTACAATCAAGATAATGAAGTTATGGGGCCAGCAGGTGGCGTGTTGGTGCAGGACTCCCACATGGCGGATCGCGGTTCAAGTCTCAAACCTGGAGGCTGGCTTTATCACGTTCTCTCTCTCTCTCTCTCTCTTTCTCTTTCTCTCTCTCTCTCTCTCTTTCTCTTTCTCTTTTTTTCTCTCTCTCTCTCTCTCTCACACACACACACACACACACACACACATGCTGTCCCTCTCTGGTCAAATTAAAATAAAATAAAGGTAAAAAATAATTTTAAAAAAATCTATATTCCTTTAAAAAAAAAAAAGGTAATGAATATATCCATTATTTCCAAAGATTTCTCATGCTCTTTTGCAATTGTTTCTCCTCCCTGCCCACATTCCCCAAGCAACTGTTCTCTGTTTCAGGGTGACACTCTGACATAGACTTCACTGTAAATTAGTTTGCATTTCCTAGAATTCTGTATCTACAAAATCACACAGTTCGTCGTGGGGGGGGGGGGGTCCTGGCTTATTTCACTCAGCAGAATTTTCTGTAATTCATTCATTTGTGTAAATCACCCCTCATCAAAGCTGAGTGCTCTGGTATAGAGGGCTAGCACAACTGCTTATTCTATAACCCGTACACGGGCAGCTGGGGTAATTACAGTTTTGGACATAATGAACAATCATTCTTCTATACGTGTTTGTACAGACGTGTCTCTTTCCTTGTCCTGGGTAAATTCTTACAAGTAGAAAGCCCGGTCACATAGAATGTGTACCTTTAACTTTTTATAAAAACGTCCTAACAGTTTTCCAAAGTTGCTATGACATGACACAGTACCACCACCAGTATGATTGTAATCTTGCCAGAACTTGGTATAGAAGTCTTTTTAAATTCGGCCATTCTGGAGGTCTGTAATGAATCTCACTGTGGCTTAAATTTGCATTTTCCTAATGGTTAATGATGCTGAAGATCTTCTGCATGTATTTTTTGGACATATGTAAAACTTTGGTAGAATACACATTCAAATCTTTTGCCCATTTTTTAAAATGCCAGCAGGTGGCATGGTGGTTAAGGTACTGGACTCTAACACTGCCGATCACATTTCAAGTCCAGGACCTGGTGGCTGAAAAATCGACCCAGGTGTATATGTGTGTGTGTGCCCACCCAAAATCCCAAGAGGAGAAGAGAGGAGAAAGGACTGCAGTGTGACCATCCCCGCTAGGGGTGAGTTCTCATTCTCCCTCTTTCTGTCTCTAACAAGTGCATGCACCCTGTGATAAAAACCTTAAAAAAAAGTTATTAGTTTTCTAAGTGATTTTCACAAGCTCTTTATATATTAAGTAAATTAGTTATTTGCAAATATATTTTTCCCAGTCTATAGAGCTTATTTTTTTCATTTTTCAGTGATATCTTTTTTCCTTAAAGAATTATTTTTATTTATTTATTTATTTACTTACTTACTTATTTATTTATTTTGACCAGAGAAGGACAGAGTGAGAGAGGAAGAGAGAGAGAGGGAGGGAAAATAAGACAGCAAGCTGCCAGGTCCGGGACTCGAACCACAGTTGGCCATGTGGGAGTCTAGTGCCCTTAACCACCATGCCACCTGATGGCCCCTCAGTGATATCTTTTGATTAGAAAAAAAAAAAGATTAATTTGGATGAGCTCCAATTTATCATTTTTCTTTTATGGTTCATGCTTTTAGTAATAGCGCTAAGAAATCTTTGTCAAACCAAAATCACAAAATTTTTATCTTATATTTTACTCTATGAGTTTTATAGTTTTAGCTCTTAAATTTAGGCCTATGGTCCATTTTAAGCTAACTTGCCCATATCATGACAGGTAATGGCCAAGGCTTATGTTTTTGCCTATCACTAACCAATTGTTCTAGCACCACTGGTTGAAAAAGGTTATCCCTTCCGCCACCGAGCTGCCTCGTCACATCACCTGAACACATATACGTGGGTCCATTTCTGGACTCTAGTATATTCCATTGACTGGGTCTCTTTTCACAGCTTGACTAGTGTGGCTTTAAAATAAGTCTTAACATTAGATAGTTTGAGACCTCCAAATTTGTTGTTCTTTTTCAAAATCATTTGATTGGTCTAACAGGTCCCAATCCAAGAGCAAGGTTCTATTAGTTTCCTAGATGTGTCACAACA